TGACAGGCTCGTTCTTCAATTGTGCGACGAAGCATGCAACTAATTTATACAATAGCCCCCGACATTGACAAACCATGACAAATTGCTTAAGGTCGTGGCAGGACCTCTTTACCAAGTGGAGTGGAAGATATGAATGAATCGGCAAGTCTTTTGTGTTCTAATACCTGAGCAATGACCGGCGTACACCGTTTCACGTTCTAATAAGAACAGTAGTAACCGAAATACTCACAAACACTATTAAATGCAGGGCATAGGAAGAGCACTAAGGGCTGAACAGAAAAACAGCACATTAAATGAATAATGTTTAATTATAATAACACAAGGACCAATTGTAGAAAGTGGTTTGTAATTTCGGCTACTTTTAAACCATTTTTCAGATTTGGACACGAAAATTTATCTCTTTACAATGGTTTAAAGAGAGGTGTACCACCACTCTGCATCGTCTCTCACCCCACGCAAGTCATGGTGAATCTACTAATGAGTTTTCATGTTTTTTACGTACTGGTAAAAGTGTGTTCAATTTAAATTTGTCCTTTCATACAATATTGTATACAGTGCACACCACTGACGAACGTAAAAGGCCTTCAGTTTGTTTTCATCTTTACCATAATACTGTTTCCGGCAAGATTATATCCGGTACTCTTTGCATAACAATAGCTGCTATCGTTGCATCTATATGGGTATAAAATTTTCACAAAAGTAGAAAAGGAAATACTTCTAAGGACCTTTAAAGCTGAAATGCATAAAATATCAATTGTTACGTACGGATTTTCTGCTACATATGTCATGTACATGTACATGCTTAACGTATATATATATATATGTATCTGTGGAAAATGCAAATTTCCCTGAGCTAAACGATGTTAAGGAAATTGCGGAATGACAATACAAATAGGTACAATTATAGTAACGAGTGTGTAGCAGATGGGTACCTAGTCAATTGATTCAAACATGTTGCAAACGTTCCTTCAGGGACTTGCTGTTTATTATTTGCGCAATATTATTCGAGACAGGTGCATTCATCACTAATATTTAGGTTAGTTAAATTGCATACAAACAATTTCAACCACTAGTAAAATCATATTATCATCATAGTTGATCTTTTCGAATTTTGGAATGGATTTGAGATTCAGAACTTTTCATACACTATGTCTGATTCCCATTGCACCGTCGATATGTGACCACCATGTCCACCTTGTCCACATTGCCAATCGAACGCTAGCGAGTGCAGATTATTACTAAACGTTACGTACAATTGACTAGTCTACGTACCAGCTGTTTGCGAAGGTCACGAATAGGTATGTGTGTTTCATCGAATGTCGATGAAATAACGCGGTAACTGTTCTCAATCATCGATGACTCGTTAAATGGGGTACTTTTTGTGCACACTTTTTACACTACCTACGTAGTAGTACTAAGATAAGATGCACTCTACAGTGCCTCCAGATGATACCTTTTAAGTATTCCGAAATACTGATCAGACATGGTGTATATAAATAGAATAAATTGAATGTCAAAATGTGTAAATCTCTATTGCGTTACTGTATTTGGTAGATGTGATCAGTACCTACCCACGAAAGGCTTAAAATAAACTTGAGAGTTTCAATTTCAAGTATTATTCCCTCGAATATTTTTCCCACCCCCGTTCGACGTAAAAATATCGACAATCAATGCAGCCCTTACGAGCTGTAGTTATATGACGTCTCTGAAATTTATCGATTTCATTCAACGTCTACAACTTCTTGATTTGTTTGTCAGTTTACGTTACTATTGCATGCGAAAGGGTTGCCGCCCTTTGAAGTAGGTACGTGTACTATGCGCTCTAGGAGGGTTGTAATTGATTAGGATCTTATGTAACTCATCGGTCGGGTCAAGAACTGAAGATGCTCTTATTCTTTAAAAATATCGGACCGGCAGAGTCTCATCAACTCGCACAAAGAGAACGGTTTTTCAAATCAATCGATTTCGAAAATTACAATGACCCCGTTTGTCGACAAAGGAATTCTTGAACTCGACCGGCCCTACAACGCAACACAACCAAAAGTTTTAGCAAGGCGGAGTTGAACAGGAATGTTTCGTTATTGTTGAAACTGAAATGAAAATTCCGTTTGCAGCAATATACTCGAGCACCGAGACGATTGAATATTCATGTTATCGAAACGTTGCATGCTAAAATAAGGTCGGAGATACTAGACCATCGGAATATTCATTCGAATGCTTTTTCGAGTTCTGTTTCATGTAAGTTTTACTTTTTTCGATGTCTAAGGGAAATAAGTACACTGCAAACTTTCTATCTACAATGAGACCCTATATTACGAAAAAATCTCTATAAAATACACTGTCTGATCACTATTCCGGAATATTTAAATGGTAGCACTTGGAGGTAATGTGGAGTGGATCTCATGATAATGCCACAACGTAGGGGGTCTAAAAAGTGTGTACAAAGAGTACTCTAGTTAACGAGCCGTTAATGGTCGCCAGTTTGACATCGCGTTATTAAATCGTCTTTCGTTATCGCAAGCGTCAAGTGAAGAAACACTTATACGTATTCGTGACCTTCGCATCAGCTAGTGCACAACATGGATAGGTCAATTGTACGTGCGACGATTGGTAGTAGCCTGTGCACTCTGTAGCTACCATTCTATTGGTGAAGTTTATCATCATAAGGTCGTCAGTCCTAAGACTGGCTGGACACGCACCTCCACTCCTTCATATCCTGACCTAATCTTCGCATTTCCCTAAAACTAGAACAACCCACATCCTTAACAATATTTTTCGAATTTCTAAATTAATCGTTCGCGAGCATAGAAGTAACTTCTTTTTATTGAAGGCGATTCGACCTTGCGCTATTCTCTGTTTTAAATCCCTACTACTTTTTCCATCTTGACATATCTGACTTCTTAGATACCTAAAATCATCCACTTGGTCTCTTATCTTTATTCTCTCTTTCCCTACTTTTTTAAATTCTATTGGTCCAATCAGGGATTAAAAATTTATTGTAACTCTAAAAATAACATTTTTAACAATTGACGCCTTTTGCAATTAACATTCACCTGATATTTCGTGCGGATTCGTCGCTGATTCTCAATTAAATCAGAGCGTGAAGAGTTTTGGTTTAAGTAAAAAGTAAGTTATTCTGCCTCGGCTTCACCAAACAGCAGAAAGAAAATGTTTCCGTTCTATTTCTCATTTTATTTGAAATGTATGAAATGTTGTTTGCATAGGTGAAACTTTGTAAAATTCTAGTGAGTACAACTTCCACAAACTTTTTCAATAAAATCCCCTGCAGACATCAGGACGTCTGCAAAATGCATTTTTATAGTTTTGTTGTTCATAACTTTAGCGTTCCATACGAAAATTATGATAAATCAAAAATTCAAAATGTCGAAACGAATGGTTTCAAGATTTAAAGATCGATGGGTAGGATATGTTGCGGACTGTGGTTCCAATGTATGACTCTAAACAATTTTTTTTTTAATTTTAAGACTTCTACGACTAAAAATGTAGAAAAATACGGAAATTTGTTGGTCAAACAATTTAATAAGTTGAATTTACATAAACGGAATGTTTTTCGTCCATAAAGAAAGTATAGGGAAACACACGTTCCAAAAGGAGACATGTAATTTTGAAGATGGTCTTTTCCTAATTCGCTTTAGTCTTAACGTTATATTTTACGAATGGTCTTCAGTTTTTCAAGTCCCATTGGGTAAACATCGTGTCCAATATGTTATTAATTTTATATTTTGGGCCTTATGTAATATTGTCATTGAAGAAACAACTCAAAAGAATCGTGGCACCATCCACATGAGTAGAAGCACAGGGATGTTTCGAAATTGGAATTTGGGTGCACTTATCTGGTATTTTTTTGTTTCTTTAGTTACAATGTCACCTATTATTATCAATTTAAAAGCAAAAGCATCCTCAAAATGGAACGTTAAGGTACACCGTCCTCTTGTAAACGTCAATAGAAACCGTGTAAAGTTAAGTTTTCCATTATTCTCACAATTCGTTCGTTCACAGGTAAGCCCCTTATACGAAGCCATGACCGGCTATATCATAGCAATAAACACCTGTGTGACTTTCTGAAAGTCCATTATGCAAAACGAACGTTGTTGAGGTTATAATGCGGTCTTTGTCCCCGGGTACTTTTCACTGTTATTAGTGAATATTCGACGTGTTTTGTGCCCAGCCGTTGCCGCTAAAACTTGTGAATGGGCATTGTCCAAAAAAAATACCTTTTCAACCAATTCATGAATGAATCGGCTTTTGTCAATTGAATTCAATTCTTCGAGTTTTGAGTACTTTCCATTAAATTCTGCTTCGCCTCAAGTGCCGCACAGTCTGTAGTACACTGTAGATACCCACACATGAGTAGTAAAGACACTTATTTATCGGGTATAGGTAGACCTGGCCGTTACTGATCCCTAGCAATAAATTGTGACAAGGCGGAGATGTTAACGCCTTACGACAAGCACTTTCTTTTTTGCGTTGGAACCGAAAATAGAAAAGAATATATTTTATCATCAGAGAAAATACCTTTCTTATTATCTAAGATTTATTTTTATGGACTTCCAAGTGCGAAAATGCGTAATACTGAATGTCATTTTACCGTATGAATGTATAAAATAGTTGAAACAATGGTATAAATTCACTATCAACTTATATCTGATACACAATCTAAAATCTTTGTCGAAGAGAAGTTTTGAAAGCTTTGTCTTTTTTTGTCTGTTATCAAAATTATAGATTAGTTTACGCTATTCCTAAATAAAAATTAAAAATAAAGGGCACGTCCATTTAATTTGTTAGTATGTATTTTAGTAGTCATAACAAACTATGTATGTATATACAAAATTAAAATATAGTAAGTTGACAAGTTGGTATCAAAAATACAATTTTATACTTATTTTTATATATTAATATACATATATACAAGGCACTCTTAAATGTTATCCTTTTTTAAATGTGAACACAGTAAATATTAAATAAAATTAAATCTTCTACTATAACGGCATGTCCGAGAAAGTTTTAGAGCAAACTTCTTCGTGTTCTTCATCATGGGTTGAAGTAGTCAACAACTTATTATTAGTTTTTCTCGAGTTAGAACACGTTCTAAGACAACAGCATTTCCCGTGCGGGTTTCCATTGCTCATTGATGGCAATTCTTCTTTCTTGTACTTTACCCTTCTGTTTTGGAACCATATTTTGACCTGTTTCTCGGATAACCGCAGATACGTCGCTATTTCAATCCTTCTTAGTCTTGAGAGGTACATATTGGAGGAGAATTCTTTTTCTAATTCCAGCAATTGATGACTGGTGAATGCGGTTCGGATTCTCTTAGTGGAATTGTCGTTATTAGTCGACGGAGATAAGGAGTCCTCTAGGGGTTTCCCCGGGGGTGGCGTAGGGGTGGATCTTCTACTAATCGAACTGGGCGATGAAGGTAGATGAATTGGAGACCCTGAAGGACTTATCTACGAAAAAAGATAACTTTATTATGTTTGGTAATTTGCAACTGCCTGAACTTTTCTGTCTAAATATAGAGCGAAAGAAATTTCAAAGAAATCTCCAAATAGGGATATAGATCCTTGTCTTATTTGTTTATTTTTTTATCCTACCGTGTATATCGTTCAGATTAGCGTCTAATTTTCTGAAAAAAAGTTCGACACTGCTGACGTGATCGGAAAATGGAACTGTCTCTCAAACGTTTTTATTCTTATTTCGGTTGAGAGTAAAACTCCCTTATAACGTAGTTTACGAAGTCAGATTTATTCTTTTTATCTCAAAAATCTCGTTCTTATTTACTACGTCAGATATTTACCTATCGACAGACGTTGTTTAAGAAAAGAAATAGAAAGTTCCCTGGAAGCTTCGCATCGTATAATAGGGCGAGTTTCAAACAAAAAGGATCTTTTTTGTTAGGTACTTTTATCATTATAATTTAGTGGAAGTGATATTTGCCTTTTTGTAGTATCGACAGAAAAAAAATTATGAATACATTTATTATTTTTTCACATATTTTTCTCTTTCTAACAGTAACTATTCGATTTGTTCCAAAGGGATGTAATTTTTTTAATGAGATTACCATCAAGAATGTAATGTGATCGTGTCTCTAACCAATTGCGTATAAACGCTTCCTCTAGTTCTTCTTTTTAAGTGGTCCAAACATGTGATAGTCACATAGCGAGAAATGAGTGCTATAGGGCGGATGTTCGAGTGTATTCTAATGGATTGTTGCTAGTTTTTTTATGGGTAAAAGAAGCAGTGTGTGGTCGAACTTGTAGTTGTGAAGAAGAATCATCCTTTCGATAGGAAAAATCACTTCCTTTTCACCGAAAAGTCAGTTTTGTCTCATTTAGGAGCTGACGACGTTAACCGCATGCTGCTCACGGAGAAAATCAATACGTAGTATCCCTCTGCAATCTCAACAAGGAGTAGTAATAAAACTTTGTGAGTTCTTTAGATTTTCGCCACTCCTTGATGGATTGTTTGGATTTCGGGGTGTAATGATGCACCCACGTCTCTTCGCAGGTAATAATGCAACATAAAAAAATATACCTCCCTCTATTTGATATTGTGCAAGCGGATAGAGACACGATAACATTCATTTTTCGATAACGACATTAAAAATCGTCGAATCTCATGGGAAAAATGTATTACGTACTGAAAGAGAAGACTACGTAGAAAAATAAGGTATTCCTTTACTGTCTGCAATATAAATCAAAGCGGCAATAAAGATACGAAAATTTCACTCGGCACTTACATGAATTGGCGAGAGTCCTTCTCTGGAGTTGCTCCTGCATTTTTTGATAGTAAATCCTTCACAACCGTCATCTGAAAGTGACAGGCTTCTTTTGATCCCTGCATGGGGAAATCTCGCGGGTGGTAGTGATGCAATGGGTTTGATAGGCCCTTTATGATGAGAAGGATTTAGTAATGGGTTGAAGAACTGATGATGATGATGTTGCTGTTGGGCCAAACTTAACGAGAACAGATAGCTGCTGATGTAATTGGACGAAAAAGGCACTAAGGGCGTTTGCGGTTCACTAAACGGCACACACGCCGAATTTGTTAATAAAGGAGTTGAAAGTCTTTTTTCCGGATAGGTCCTGGGAGTATTCCCGATCAAGGAATCCACAAAAAACGACCGGGACATGTTCATACCGCCGATGACAAATAGACAAGTATTAGACTACGTGTTAACAGTCACCCTACTGAAGAGAAAAAGTAAAATCTTTAGGTTTATATGCTCCCTCTTCAGTTGGCAGCCGAACTCACCCCAACTGGTTGTACCCCATTGTTAAAAGCCCCGCCCCATCTACCCTTGTAAGCTGCAAATAAACAAATTACATACAAGCTAATCCTGACACTAGCCAAACATTGGCCGATCCTTCCTTGCAAACATTGAGGATTGTTCTCACACGGCCCCGGTATCCTCGCTGGATACTTCATATTTGTCCGGGATTATTACTGTAATAATTCTTAATATGTTAGATGTTATTCCCCGAATGGATACAATATACGGTGGCCTTTGCAAATATTAGAGGAGATACTGAATGGGAATGTTATTTGATTTTCTTCTCAAAAAAAGTATCTAAACCGTCGCAATCATAAATAGAGATTTATTTAATAATAATCTTTTTTGAATAGAACCATTTCTTTTGCTTGTAACGGTCGTTTTTGATAGTTTCGAGTTTCACATTAGATATGATCATCATCGTAAGGTCGTCAGTCCTAAGACTGGTTGGACACGCACCTCCACTCTTTCCTATCCTGAACTAATTTTCGCATTTCCCTAAAACTAGAACAACCCACATCCTTAACTATTTCCGAACAATAATCTAATCTAGGTCTACCTCTACTCCTCTTAGCTCCTGTTTCTGCCTGTAATATGTCTCTGACTACACCTTCATGCCTGAGAAGGTGTCCTACCAACTTATCCCGCCTATTTCTTATTGACTTCCATAAAGTCCTCTGTTCTCCTATTTATTCTAATACTTCTTCATTTCTAACCTTCTCTATTCATGGTAACACCACATTTCGAACGCTTCTAACCTTTTCTTTTCCGTCGCGCCCACCGTCCATGTTTCGCACCCGTACAGCGTCGCGCCCCAAACATACACCTTTAACAATCTTTTTCGAATTTATAAACTAACCGTTCGCGAGCATAGAAGTGACTTGATCAACTATAATTGAGTTTAATTTTGTTTCAGGATACTGCTGGATACCTGTCTATGCAAGGACTGCTGTTTAACCCTGCACAAAATGGTGAGTCATGCTTTTATAATATATGTAGGTATGTTGTAAACTCTGTGCCAACTAAAGTGGCGGCTCATGTAATAAAACTGCAAATAATAGACCGCTTTTGCGCATGCCTAAGCAATTACAACTTTATAATACTGTTCAAACGAAATTCGTTTTATAGTCTGTTATGAATCTGTTCCTACAATGGTCAAAATAGTTTGAAAGCTTACAAATCTTCTGAAAGTTATTTATTATTACTTCAGTCGCCACTTTAGAAGACTCATAGTTTAGGTACAATATTCTTTTCTCATTCTTTATTTATTGTGGGTTATTGGTCATGAATTTATTCCTTATATTGTTGAAGGTTTGTGAAGTTAAATATTTTCCCTTAGAATTGTTTTCAAATCGGATTAGATACGGTCAGTATCTTTTTGCATTTTATTCCAGTCCAAGAAATCTGTTTTGAGCGCTTTATTATAATTTAGAACACCGAAAAGCTACAGCTTTCAATATGGAGAAAATGGTTGTGTATCTAAAACAAATTTTCCACTTAAATTTGTGGAAAAATAAAAATTATTCTTACTAACATGTTGAGTGCAGATAAACAATAGGTATGTAATATCTCAAAGATACAATTTTATCAAAGCGGATCATATTGAAAGCTTTATTTTGTCCCTGTTCTCCAGCGATAATACAATATTAGAGGTATAAAACATCGATCATAATACGAACGATTTTGATATACATGTGAATTCATATTTTGAATTCCATGTATCTCGTTTGATGTAGGTATAGATAGGTATAAAATGTAACAACTTTGTGAGTGCTTTCAACAAACAGACACAAAAGAATACTGTCGCAAGAATATTTTTAACACAGACTTTAATACATCGGGGGTTAAAATATAATAATATATATACTTGTACCTGGTTTAAAATTAGAAAAATGTTTTTTAAAAATGTGTGGAGGACGACTGGTCCTAAGACTTTTGCATACGTGACTACAATGTACTTCATAAGGATACTTACATGTATTTTCGTGAAAGGGTAAGATGTTGTAAGTAACTGTAATTATGCGAGGATTAGGTTAGGTTAACGGTCTTAACGCCCCTAAGGTCTTCGAAAAGTATGCTTCATTATGATCTCCGCGCACAGTATATACTTATCTAATGTATAAAAATGATCAGCATTATCACCTCTACAATATGCTAATAATTCAAGGTCATCGCGTTTGCTGAAACAAAGATAACCTCGTCTAATTATTCTAACATCCAACATATCAGCCCGCTTCCGAGCAGGGACATTAAAGGAGAGGAAGGTACATCTCCAAACAGTCTGCCGTATTAGCGCCTATTTAGTATTACCTGTAATACATTTCCGATTGCTATTTAGGAAATATAGATTTCCTAGGAAATGTGTCTAATATAATTTATTTCACAATTTTCCGGGCCATTTTAGGAATTGCCTTTCCTAGGAATTGTATACCGTGACGGATTTCATACAATTCCGGTAACATATATAAGTATGGTCGACCAAAAACATCGAAGAATATCATCTTGTCATTGTTTATACAACTAATACAAAGGGCATGTTTTGGGTTGTATCATTATTCGACCGACACAGGCGTAGCGGCTGGCACAGGTTTCATCCCCATCAAGTTACAGGCACTATCACTACACCTATAAAATGAACAGCTACAATATAAAATTTAAAATTTAAAGCCATCCCGTGAAATGTTACAAAATGACATCAATTTTGATTAAATCCAAATTCCTGTTTAAATCGTGACGCATTAGAGAGATTTATAAGTCCAGGGAATTGCCTCAATATATGGAACGTATAACGTGTGACATTGTAACACGAATGAATATTTGTAACACAATGTAAATACGTATCAACGCTTTATTTATGTACATGTATAGGCACATGCATTTGGTATATAATCACAGGTACATAGATGCGCGTTAAAAGCTAACCACCTATATAGCACCTCGTCAGTTCGTCCCGTGTGGTTCCCGTAATCACTGAATTGGAACAGTGACGAGAGAGAGTTAGTACATTGGATTTATTGCTATGCTGTTTGGTTTCGCCCTACGTTAAACAGTCCTTTTATTTTGCAAATAATCGCGAAAACAGCGAACAGTAATTAACTGATGAAAGTTGCAGTCTTTAAGTGCTATTTAATATGTTACAATTGCTTTTTGAAAATATTTAAGGTTATGTAGACATGTGTATATCCGCTTCTGCTTTACATTAGGCAAAAGTATTAGATTCTTAATGTATTGGCGTTAAAATAAAAATATAAATACAGAAAACGATAGAAGAAGGAAAGAGCGCATACAATGTTAAATATAATTAAAAATGAAGGTATGAGTTACAGAGATAGAAGAGGGTTACTTGGTTTGTATAAAGAGCAACAGGCAGTTATAGAGCTGGAGCTGATAAACATCATTAAAGACAGTACAACTGTAGGGATAGGTATACAGGGGCAGAAGATTAGTATGCTTCTATTTGCATATGATACAGCAGTATCAGCATCTAACAAGGAGAAATTAGAGATAGGTTTAAATAAAATAGAAGCGGTATTGACAAAACAGTACTGTATGAAATTAAACAATAGTAAAACAAAAATACTGGTATGCAAGGGAAGAAAAAGTAGGGAAAGAGCGAATGTAAAGACAGGAGACGAAATATTAGAAGAAGTGGCTGATTTTAGGTATCTAGGAAGTCAGATAAGTCAGGACGGAAGGAGTAGTAAGAATATAAATCAGACGATAGCGCAGGGTCGAGTGGCCTTCAATAAAAAGAAGTCACTTCCATGCTTACGAACGATTAATTTAGGAATTCGAAAAAGATTGTTAAAGGTGCATGTTTGGAGCGCGGCGCTGTCGAAAAGAAAATGTTAAAAGCTTTCGAAATGTGGTGTTACCGGCGAATTTTTTATTGAAATTTTCCCAAATTTCCTCGGAGATCCTTATGACAAAGAAAGCCTTTAAGCAAATAAAATTCATTTGGCACAAATATTAGGTAAATTATATAATAGATTAAATAAAGATCTCTTTTCTCTAAGCTGAGTTTACATTCCGTATGGCTAAGAAAATTTTAGGGGTGGTTAGCGAACGTCTTTTTCCCTCTTACTGTTTGCAGGCATGAAGAGGAGACCTGACAAATTAATATTTGTGGAATAGTGTACAAAACCTCGTTTCTACCGGGTATCCCACGACACCACAATGTATATGTTTCTTGTAATATATTATTTAACTTCCAAACAAAAACCAGTAAAGACTAGCTTAAAGGTAATTATTTGCAGGCATTTCCAGTATCGCTTCCACGTATTGTTGCTTTGAATAATTATCACAGCTATTTCATGACAATTTTAACATTTTCTTAATCTTGACTTTAAAATAGTGAGAAGGTATCTACTTAAGGCATGCTTACATAAACGTATAGAAACATATTTTGTGAACCGCTTATCATAATGTACAAATTATTTTTTGTTTTGCTGTTGCTGACTTACATTTACGCCTCTGTTTCTATCGTTTGTCCACCAAACTATTGCGCCCATAAACATTGTCAAAATGATATAATAAATTGTGGACCTGGTAAAACAATGGGAAAAACTTTCTGTGGTTGTTGCAACGAATGCGTCGATGTCATACGTAAGTTTCTTAAAATAAATGACGATTTTCTGATAGATAATAGGTACGCAAATTATTGATTTGTTTTTTACAATTCAATTTTTTAGCTGAAGGCGAGGTCTGTATCAGTTTACTCGGCGTTCCACCAGGAAGTGTCTGCGTGAAAGGAACAAGTTGCATAAATGGCACATGCAAAAGACTTTGTTAGTGTCTTTTGTGTATTAGTAATAGAGTGAATAAAAATTAATGAAATAATTTACAAAATATACATCCCAAACGGTGTATGTACGAACAGTATAGGAAAGAGTAGGAGAACAGAG